AGGGAGAGCTATTTTCTGACCTGTAAGTGAGGTCAGAAAATAGACTGGGAGAAACTGATCAGGGGGCTTATATGGCATATTAAGGAGTTTAGCTATTATCCTTAGTCGTCAAAGATTTATAAGGAGAAAAATTAATAACAGATCTTTGTTTAGATCAGTTCTGAAAAGTGTAATTTATGGACTTGCAAAGTAACAACTCTTCATAATAAATTCTAAGACATTATTTGCCTTTTTAACTATGTTGACGTGAACTCAGCTATATGACCCTGAGAATGAGGGCTTCCTTAAATTTTGTGCCCCTGGCACACTTGTCTTACTTGTCCTACAAAGTTGAACTGGCTGTGCAAAATCAATGGTGGGTAAAACTGCTAATTCTTTAGCACTTCAGTCCCCAACCCCCACGCCGCAGCCCAGTACTGGTCCGTGGGCTGTTAGTTAGGAACAGGGCCAGGCTTTACCACCAGAGCTCCACCTCCTCCCCTCCCCTCCCGAGGAAAAACTGTCTTCCATGAAACCAGTTCCTGTTACCAAATAGGCTGGGTACTGCTACTTCAGCAAGAGTCAAGGCAGTGACATCAAATTGTATTAGGAGTCATCAGTTTCTTCACTCCCACATCCTTGCAGTAAAAACAAGTCAAATTTCTTTTAAACATTATCCCAGGTATGATGGTTATCTCCAGTAAAGCTATTGTTTTGTGAGCTGAATTGGCCACTTTTGTCATGGAACACCACTTATACTTCAAAGAGTCACAGACAAACTTATGGTTATTTAGATGGGTACCTGGCAGACATTTTCTTAAAAATGAACAAAGTGAGTCTGTCAACTTCAAGGAAAAAAACTAACAATATTTGCTGCCAATGATAAAATTTGAGCTTAAAAACTCAAAACACAAGTGTTAGAATTTTGAAAAATTTGTGCCTGCTATCATGAACCTGGTAATTTACAATACTTAAAGAGTTTTCTGTGAGATTGGTAGTGATATTAATAAACATGATTTTTTGTATGTATTAAAATGTATCAATATTTAAGATATGTATAACTCAGTGAACAAGTATTTTCCAAATAACCAATGCATGATGCTATAAAATTATGCATAAGTAACAGATCCATTCAAAATGCAAGATATACCAGTGGATTTTAACATAACAGAGCATGAAAAGTTCAGATTCCACACTGCAACTAAACTTTCAGAAAGTAACTCTTAGCAAGTTTGGGTATAGTATCAAAAAAGGATAAGCACGATTTTCTAAGAAGGTTATTAAAATGCTCCTCTCTTTTCCAACTACAAATCTGTACAAGACAAGATTTTCTTTATATACTTCAATCAAAACAACATATCACAACAAACAATGAGGAAACAGATCCAAGAATAAACAGTCTTCTATTAAGCTAGACATTAAAGAGAGTTAAACAAATGTAAAACAATGCCAGCCTTCTGACTAAACTTTTTCTTGTTGTGGGAAATATAATTATTTTTTTAATACGTGTGTTAGCTCAGGCTACCATAACAAAATACCATAGACTCAGTGGCTTAAACAACAGAAATTTATTTTCTCATGGTTCTGGAGGCTGGAAGACTGTGATCAGGGTACCAGCAAGGTTAAGTTCTGGTGAGGGCTCTCTTCCTGCCTGGCAGATAGCTGCCTTCATGCTGTGTTCTCACACGGCACAGACAGAAAGCTCTGGTGTCTCTTTCTCTTCTTCTTCTTTTTTTTTTAATCTTGCCAACAACTTGATTTTATCTTCCTCTTCTTATAAGGGAATCCATTCTATCAGATTAGGTTTCCACACTTATTTAACCTTAATCACCTCCTTAAAGGCCCTATCTCCAATAGAGTCACATGGGGGATTAGAGATTCAGAATATGGATTTAGGGGTATACCATTCAGTCTATAGCATTCTTCCACTGGTCCCACAAAATTCACGTCCTTCATATAAAATACACTAATGCCATCCCAATAGCCCCCAAGGTCTTAACTCATTCCAACATCCACTCTAAAATCCAAAGTCTTATCTAAATATTATCTGAATCAAATATGGGTGCAACTCAAGGTACGATTTATCCTTAGACTAAATTCCTCTCCAGATGTGAACCTGTGGAACCAGAAAGTTATGTGTTTCAAATATACTGTACAATGGTGGACAGGCATAAGATAGATATTCCCATTCCAAAAAGGAGAAACCAAAAGGACCAAAGGGGTGATGGGTCCCAAAGCAAGTCCAAAACCTAGCAAGGCAAATTCCATTAGATCTTAAAGCTTGAGAATAATTCTCTGTGGTTTGATATTCTGCCCTCCAGGCCCACTGGAGTGGCACTGTAACCCTCACGGCTCTATGGCATAGCCCCAGCCATGTGGCGCTATGAGAGTATCCTGGCCCCTGAGGCACTGGGCAGAGTCATGTGGCCCCAGAAACTGGTTCCTCTTTGAAACCAAGGAGAAAACAGCCTTGTCCCCTGTGCCTGTGGTAGGAGTGCCAACCCTGAGTTTGGTCATTCTTCCCTTTTATTTTGAAGTCAGTACACATTCACAGCAGAATAGATAGCTCTATGGTCCGGTCCTATAGAATCCAAGAAGTCAAAGAGCCGTCCCACATTCTGTCCTGCTTTCTCTGTCCCTTTTAGTTAAAATGGGCAGTGTGTTTGCTGGTATAAACCCAACTCTATTCCTGGCTTCTGATGAGATAACTAATTATGTCCATGAGGTGCACACATTAATTGGTTGTTCAGCCACACCCTTAGTGTTCTTGTCAGAATAAGTTTTCTTATTTTTTACAATATGGATAGGTTGAGAATTTTACAAATCTCCACATTCTGGTTCTTTTTTGCTTAATGATTCCTTTTTCAATTCATGTTTTTCCTTTTACATTTCCCTATGACCACTCAGGATAAACCAAGTTGCTCCTTCAACACTTTGCTTAAAAATCTCCTCAGCTAAATATCCAATTTCATTGCTCTTAAGTTCTACCTTCCACAGAATGCTAGAACACAGTTCAGCCAAGTTCTTTTCCACTTTATACAAGGATAACCATTCCTCTGGTTTCCAATAACATGTTCCTCATTTCCATCTGAGACCTCACCAGATTTGCCCTTAACATCCATATTTCTAACATGCAACTCAAAATTCTTCCAGCCTCAACCCATTACCCAGTTCCAAAGCCACTTCCACATATTCAGGTATTTGTTATAGCAGTACCCCACTTCTCAGTACCAAAATCTGTATTAGTAAGCTTAGGCTGCTGCCATAACAAAATAGCATATACTGAGTGGCTTAAACAACAGAAATTTAATTTTTCACAATCTGGAGGTTGGAAGCCCAAGATCAGAATACCAGAATGATTGGACTCTGGTGAAGGTTCTCTTCCTGGCTTGCAGACAGCAGCCTTTTTTCTGTGTCCTTGCATGGCTGGAGGGGGTGGAGAGGTGAGACAGGGAGAGGGGGAGGAGGGGGGAGAAGGGAATGGGGAGGGAGAGGGAGAGGGGGGGAGAGAGATCTCTTCCTCTTCTTACAAAGCCATCAATCCTATCAGGTCAATCCCCATCCTTATGACCTCATTTAACCTTAATTACCTCCTAAAAATCCTGTCTCCAAATACAGTTACATTGGAGGTTAGAGTTTCAGCATATGAATTTTGGGGGACACATTTCAGTCTATAGTAATATGTTAATGTGCAATGGGTTGTTATTTTTTAAATATTTAAAAATTGGCTGGGTGCAGTGGCTCATGCCTGTAATCCTAGCATTCTGGGAGGCCAAGGCAGGAGGATTGCTCGAGGTCAGGAGTTTGAGACCAGCCTGAGCAAGAGCGAGACTCCATCTCTACTAAAAAATAGAAAGAAATTATCTGGACAACTAAAAATATATAGAAAAAATTAGCCAGGCATGGTGGCGCATGCCTGTAGTCCCAGCTACTCGGGAGGCTGAGGCAGAAGGATCGCTTGAGCCCAGAAGTTTGAGGTTGCTGTGAGCTAGGCTGATGCCACGGCACTCACTCTAGCCAGGGCAACAGAGTGAGACTCTGTCTCAAAAAAAAAAAAAAATATATATATATATATGACAATGGAATATCCATACACGAAGAACTGAGACTTTGATACTTTGTAAGTATACTGAAAAGAGAAGGTATTTTTCCTACTTTGCTTTTTTGGCAGGGATGGCTAATTGTCTCTCTTCTCTGCTTTATCAGTAATAAGTTCCCCTGCTTATTTGCTGGGCACTTATACACTGAGAAAATGATTAAAATTTCTAGCCTCCCTATGGCAAGTAGTAGGCACATGACAATGGTCTGACCAGTAGGAAGTAAGTATGTAACATTTCTAAGAAGTGTCCTCAGCTGCTGTGGAGTCAGGTAGAGGAGCATCCTTCTTCTGGCCTTTTTTTCCTTTCTGCTGATTGGAATGTGGATGTGATGGCTGAAGCCAGAGCAACGGTCTTGGATTACAAGGTAAAAAATACATTTGGAGATGGCAGGCTAAAAAAACATAAAGGGTCTGAGTCTCTGATGATCATTGCTCTCTATACCAGCCATGGATTACCTGTATCTACACAAAAGACAAACTTCTGAGTCTTGGTCCATTTGGACTGCTATAACAAAATACCATAAACTGGGCAGCTTATAAACAACATAAACTTATTTCTCACAATTCTGGAGGCTGGGAAGTCCAAATCAAGGTACTGGCAGATTTGGTGTCAGGTAAGAGCCTGCTTTCTGGTTCATAGTGGTAACTTCTCACTGTCTCCTCTAATGGTGGAAGGGCTCTCTGAGGTGTCTTTTATAAGGACACTAATCACATTCATGAGTGCCCTGCCCTCATGACCTAATCACTTTCCAAAGGCCCCACCTCCTAACACCATCACATTGGTGATTAAGTTGCAACATTTGAATTTGGGGGGGAATACAAACATTCAGACCATAGCACTCTGTTTTGAGTTTTATATTTTCCACAGCCAAACTCAATCTTAACTATAAAGCTCTGAAAATGACATTAGAAAAGTAGTCACCTGACAAATTCTGCCTGCTGGTTTCACTTTCTCCGTTGCTGGAAGAAGAACCTGGTTCTGAAATGCTGCTCTCTGTTCTTCCCATCAGTGGTCGCAAATGGCTTACAGATACTTGCTCAATAAAAGATGTGCCATGCTTATGGAAGTACCACCATTCAAATATCTATGACAAGCAGAAAACATCCTTCAATTATAATTGATCAGCAGATGAATGAGCTCAAATTAAAACATTCTCTCAAGATGTTCCTGTTCAATTCAGCATTTTAAATGCACTCTCTTTCAAAACAAAACACACAAACACAAGATTCACCAATAACACATGCTGTATAAAAGTGAAATACCTTTTTGTGTGCTTTGGGCAAGTCACTTAATCTCTAATATCTCAGAACTTCAGTGTCCTTGTCTATTAAATGTGTTAACAGGAATTACAAGAAAGTGCTTTTGAACCAAAAAGTATTACTCCAATATTTGGCAATATTATTAATATACAGATTAAGAGTCAAGATGATTCCCATATTGAACCATTTAAAAATCAGGATATTCACTTCTTTGTGTTTCCATAGCTTATCCCTATTATAAAAAAAGGAACCAAAAGAAGCTCTTTGCCAAATTAACAGAAATTTTCATATGTGGACATTCCAACCTTCCAAACTTCCTTTGCCTGGCTCATGTGGGTTTCAGTTTAAATGACACTTCCTTAGGGAACTTCTCTTGATTCCACAGAACAGAATAGACAACTGTGTTGTGCAATTCCATTGGATCTCGTGTTTTCCTTTCAGAGTAATCTTTTCACCTGTAATACCTGCTGCTGTTCCTCAAGCCCCCAAACACACTCCCATTGAGGCAGAAGTAACATGCAGCATAGCTAGCTTACTCATTTCCTTTAGGTCTTTCCTAAAAAAGGCACCATTTCAGTGAGACCTTCCCTTGCTACCCCAGATACAATTTCAACCTTCTTCCCTGACACTTTATATGCCCTGCTCTATTTCATTGTTTTCCCTTAGCACTTATCACTATTAGTAAGAACATACTATTTGTGTGACTTATTTATCTTTTATTATCTATTCCCCTAATAAAATGTAAACTCCATGAGCACAGGGATTTTTTTCTGTTTTGTTTACTACTGTAAGCCCAGTGCTTAGAAACAGTGTGTGGCACCGTAGGCCACACAATAAATAATTATCAAGTGAATGAATCATTGTCCCTAATCACCTTCTAGACCAAATTCCATGAGGCCATAATCTGCTTACCGTGGTATTCCCAACATCTAGAGCAGTGTTTGACACATAAAAGGCCCTCCGTAAGTATTTGTTGAATGAAATTTGAAATTGTTCACTTTGTTCATTTGAACAATTTTATATAATTAGTTTTCTATTAATATGTCTTGACTATAAAATTAATACCTTCCTCCTCTTATTTATGGACCATTTCTCTCAAAAAGCCAACTGAGAGACTAGTTTCCTGCCAAATGTATTGGACAAATGTATTACTTTATTTATCTAAAGAATAAATAAACACATCCACAACTGCCTAAGAGATTGTAATCTTTTTTTAAACTGTTTTACTATGACCACAAACAGAGCATATCACAAAAACAATCAGAGTTTTCAAACCTCTAGGATTGTTATTTTTTGTCTCAGTAAATAATAGAACAAATATGCTACACAGGTGTCAAAAGTATGCAGTCATTTTTTACTACATTGTGGCCCACTGACTAAATGCTACAACATATATAGGAAAGTGCTAGAAAATCAAGGTACAGCATTCTTTTCTATCATGCCACTATTGTTTTATGCTCGGTCTAAAATGGTTTCTCTTTTTGCTCACTCTTATTGAGTTAGCAAGAAATTAATCACCACCAAATGTGGCCATGGTTTGGTTTCTACCATATGTGTTACTAAGAAGTGGGATGAAACTTCTTGAAAACAACCGGAAGAAATTACACAAGCAGAAATTATTTATGTGACAGAAAAGATAAGATTTATATTGGATAAATCTTGGATAAAAACATTGGATAAATACTGTCAAGGACAGTAATCATAAGGGCAATAATAAATACTACCCTTCACTATATAAAGTACAGGTGGATTTTTTAGGAATTAATATGAAGCTAGAGGCTTTTTCAACTTTTAAGTCAACTTTTTAACATAAATGAACAATGATAATAATAATTGTTAATACTCACCAAAAGCTCTCTCTAAGAGCCAAACATTGTGCCAAGCCCTTTACATGCATTATGGCATTTAATCCTCACAACAACTGACTTTAGGGATGAGGACACACATTCCAAATTTAAATCATGAGCTCTAGCTCACATCATTGCTAAGTAGCAGAGCTGGGATTCTTACTCAGGTTTGCCTGACTTCAGAGCTTCTAACCATTACACTAGACTGCTTCACAAACATACCTCATTGTATATGTATATCTGAGTGTATGTGTATACAAGTTGGATAAGTCTAGGCAGAAAAAGAAATTATAAACACAACAACCTTTGCTAATAAAAATCCACCAGTATTGCTAGGGTAATGACAAAATTTAACTTTTAAAATGCTACTTGAATTTCCTAATTTTTATATATTTAAAACCCTGTTTTAAAAAGAGTTACAAAAATATTTTAAAAGATTTTAGAAACCATATATATGTATATAAAAGTTATTTCTTTCTTATAAATGAGGAAATTATGATTTAGACAGTTTATGTGACTTGCCTGAAGTCAGCTAGTAAGTGGCAGAGTTGAGATTCAAAATTCTCGTTCCAAAACCAATGCTTTCTCCAATACATCAGCTGTTTAAAGATAATTTATTTCCTTTATTTAGACTTTTTATGCTATTTACTAAATATGCTAAAATATGCTTAACTATGAGTAGGTTTTATAAATCAATAAATTGTGAGGCTTATACTAACATATAGCTTTTAACCTGAATTCCTCAATAGCTTATTTATTTTCCAAGAGAAAAATCTCTTTCTTGTCTTCATTTCACTTTAACAAAATGTTCAGTGTTAGGCCCTATTTTAAAAAAGGTCCAATACAAATACTACTCTTCCTACTGTAGCTGGAGAGCACCACCTAGAGATAAGAAAAAAGAACAGAAAAATCCATTGGCGGTGCATGGTGTATAACTTAAGATTTTTATCTACAGCAGTATTTTTCCAAAGAGGAAACACTAGATCCCAGGGATGTTAATGGGGATTACAAATTTTTAAAAACACATTTTTTAATAAAAAATGATATCTTGTTCAAGGAAAAGTTGAATTAAAGTTAAGCATGTTTCTTTATTGTGGGACTTCTCAGAACAGTAATGGCCAAAATTCATTAAGTGCTCACTTTGAGCCAGCTACCATGTTATTAATACGAACTTTTATACACATTATCTCATTTAGTCTTCATAATACTATAAAGTGGATACTATTATTATCCCTAGTTCACAGATGAGGAAACTAGGGCTTGGAAAAACTGCAAGCTGAATACAAGACACAAATTTTAGTCTGCCCAATGTTGCCAATATTAAAATATTGAAAAATTTATATAAAATCTGTATATCTAAGTTCTCTTGAAATCATTTGAAAAATTGGAAGATCTGGTAATATTAGTCACAAGTCTACAGGGCAACAATTAGCTTTAGCCCCTTTTAGAACGAGTATGTGCTGTCCAGATTACCCATAAGGAATTTAATTCTTAAATTGTGCCCATTTCACTCATCTTTGTTACCAACTTGAGCCCTGCAGGTATTTAAAGTCGACCTCATCCCCATCCCCTCCCCCACTACAGTATATAATGTCTTTAATATGCAAATAAATACTGCAAATCTCTACAAGTGGATAGGGAAAAGTAGTGTTCCCCAAACTTGTTGAATAGGTAATTCTCTTTTCAAATGCTGAACACATTTTGGAAATGCTAATCCATAAGTAATTATAATTTATAATTATTGTAACCATATAACAGGATGGATCTTTAGATAAATAACAAAACATGAATGAAGGAAATGGAAACTACTCACAAATATTAGTCCTGATATCAAAGAAGATGTCCCTGAAAGTGCCACATAGAATTTGGGTGTCAATGAATTTAAAAATACTGTCACTGCCGAAAGAAAAAAAAAAAATCAAAGTTTAAAAAATGCAAATAAAAAATACAAATTTAAAGTACTTCAGTTATAAATATGCAGGTGTCTTTATGAGAGGGGGGACATAAGTAGCATTAATATTTAGTGTGAAATTCATCTGAGAAAGTTATAATTTTTAAAAAGCTACTTTAAATGACCATTTTATCATATCTTAAAAGTGCATTCACACATGTAAAGGTAGAATTTTATACGGTTGGTCAAATAAGCAGCAAATCAAAGCAGCAAATCAGCTTGCTTTTGAGAATAAAAGCACTTATAAATCATAATTTAGACAAGAATTTTTGCAACTCTATAAGGATAAGAAGCTAAACAAAGGAGGTTGAAAACTACTCCCTAATTATTTTGGTAAGATACAAACCAGTGTTTCAAATTAGAGGGAAAGAAACAGTGTAGTATTTGGTATGTCAGCTAGAGAGGCAAAATAGGTCAAAGAGAAAAGCAACAAACTGAGAGCTCTTTGAACCTGACTTACTGAAATCCTGGATCAGATTCTCCACTTCAAATAAATGTCTCATAAATACTTTAAGTTTTAGAAAGAAATAAAATTCTACAATAGTCAACTATTCTCATCTAAATGGTGTATCTGGTTAACATGTAGAAAAATAAATAATGTATCAATGAATAACATCCATTGCGCATACAAACCACGATTAAAAGCTTCATTCACCTGTTACAGAGCCACTAAATTAGCTCTTAAGTCTAGCCTGTTTTAGTGTACTAGTTATATGTGAATTTATATCGTACCTATCTTTTAAAAAATCCAAAATATCTCAGAACATTATCTTACAGTCTTTCCTGTTATCTCATGTTATAGGAAAGGGGACATTGCCTTCTTTTGCTACAGAAAAATAAACCACTGTACAAATAGCCAAAGTCATCAAGAAACAGAAATAAATACTTCCATCTTGTTCAGAGGTTGCTTCTCAGGGCTTGAGTGAAATATTATAATGACATGGTAAGAGGCCCTGGCTCCATCCACTTTGTCCTGTCTACAACTAAATAACAGTATTTTCAGAATTCACGGTCATCACTTCTTATGCATCTTTGTATCTTCAGACCAGACTACATAGCAAGCGCTCTATAGATGTCGAAAGAACTAATGAACAAACCCACTGCTGTTTAGGGGCGGTTCGTGGTGGGGGCGGGGGGGGGTGTCACTCTTTACTTGCTGTACTGTTCTATTTTATTACTCAAGATAAAGCCTAAAGCAACACACACAAATACCACGAAAGCTATTTCTTAATAGAACTATTTTAAAACAATAGTCTACTAAGATCACGGCATTTCCTTTCTTTGAAATCCTTGAATTACAGATGTCCTCATCTTCGTGGTGGGGGTTCTCTAAGGTGAGAGGCGGGAGACTCAAAAGAATGATTTTCAAGGATTTTACCGATGGTGGGGGTGTATATAAATTCTGTATCTAAATCTGAGAATGGTCTCTTCTGTCCTACCACCTGAAGCTTACAGCTTGTCAGGTGGCTTTTCCTCCGGTAAACGAGGATCTAAGTTAAGAAAGAGGGCGGATCTTAAGAGTTCTAGGGAGGAGCCGGTAGCTGCAGCTCAGGTTTGATAATCAGCTGCGGGATTGCGGCCCAAGAGAAAAATAACTCACTTGGTCGCGCATCACCGACTTCTCCGAGGCCCTCGGTGACTACCTAGAATCTCTGCCCTTTGGCCCTTGCCCCCGGCACCTGTCCTGGCCCCTGGCCCGTCCCCGGAAGGTCTGGTCCTCTCACCCGCTGCCAAGTTCTCACACAGCCTCAGCGGGACCCTCAGAGCGTAAAGCAGCCCCAGCCCAGCCACGAACCACAACGAGGCCCCAGCCCCCGCCAGCCCGGCCCGCAGCCGCTCCTTCCAGCCCAGCGGCGGGCTCATGCCGGGAGCAGGTGCAGAAAGAGATACAGAAGTTGCGGCTTCACCAAAGCCGCCGTGCTCCGCCATCTTGCCGCTCTCGCCGGCGCCTGGAGCTGGGAGGGAAGGGCAGGAAACCCGGAGTCGGGAATCCTGGGATAGTGGCGGATCTGAAGTTGGCCTATGTGAAGGCTGAGAATCCCGGGAAACGGGGACCGAGAAGATTGGAAGGTGGAGGAGCGAGTCCTAAGACTGGGGCTACCTTTTCCTTCGGGGGGCGGGGAAGGACAGATTGCGGCGTCTGTTCTGAAGGAACTGGACTGAGATATGACCCCGGAGTGAAGCGTTATTGCTTCCATTCACCCAGTTCCCGGAATTGGAAAAGCCACCGACCGTTCCAGAGGCCGAGCAGCTCTTTAGCGCTTTGGACTCGGCTGCCATGGAGATCACTGGTACCAGGAAAACTTATAGGAGTAGCAACTGCTATTGGGTCGGTTGGAGCCCAGGCGCCAAGAACAGTCGAAACGCGCTGCCAGCGTCCAACAGATGAATGGGGAAATGATTGTAACTCAGTGAGAAAGAGATTAGACTTCAAGTCACTTAAGGAACAGCCGACGTCCCAGGGCACTGGCGCCAGGAGTTGTCACCCCACGCGTAACTGACATGGCGCCCTCTTGATCTGCGTTTCCGGGCGGGTCCTTCCGACTGCCCCCGCGGTGATTCCATCACTCTGCTTCCTTCCCGGCCTGCCTCGCGCCTGCGGCCGGGCTGGGCCAGAGCAGCCCAAGATGGCCGACTTCGAGGATCGGGTGTCGGATGAGGAGAAGGTAAGGGGTCCGCCTCTCTCTCTTACCTCCTCCCCCGACAGGGAACAGGGGCCCGATCCGACTGCGGTAGGAAGCCTGACAGTGTCCTCAGGAAAAACAAGCTTCTTGGCCTGCGCTGACATACGATCTCTGCAGTCGGGACGCTTCGCTCTTAAGGGGCTTTCCTCTGCCTCACGGTGGCCCCAGTTTCCCATTCCTCAACTCTCTTCTTTTCCTCCTGGGCCTGAGGCACAGCCCAGTGGCCTTCCTGCAAGAGAAGAGACTTTTCCCTTATTGAATCGTGACTGTGAACTCCTTTTTGTAATTATGAGAGAGGGCGTTGATTATGTCGCGGCGTATCTAAAAGCGGTTATTTTGCCGCCTTTAGCTGTTGGGGCTCACCCATCCCCCCATTTTTAGGTGTGATTGGGGTTAGTTTAGGGCGAGTCACTTCCTGGTCAGGGTGGCCTCTTAACTTCCCTTTTGCTCCTCCTTCCCCAGGAAGTGATTTTGCTGTCACGACTCCTCGACAGGGAGAAAGGTCCCTAAGTGCTGTCCACCTCACTACACATCCACTTCTTTTCTCACGTGCTATTTATTGCCTGTTCTCTATAATAAGTGTGCAAGCCTCAGGGCATTTGCTTCAGAGTTTGGACACCAGCCTTTTCCCCGTAGACACTCGGTTGATTGATTGTGTGTACATATACCTCGCCCTCCACCCCCCGCCCGGACCCCCGACCCCGGTCTTACATCCTCTCAACTATAATTTTTGAAAACTAGTTTGCGGTTTCTTGTTAACAAATCAGTAATAGCCAATGGATTTCCTTAATCTCCCGAAGGTTTTATATAACACGTAAATTTCATGTTAACACATTCAAGTCTGAACAAAGCATCCTGCCTTCTTTGATACTCCGCTGTGGAGTCTTTGATTATAGCTGGATTTGTCAGTGTGCAATTTGTGTATTTATTTCTTGAAAAATGTCTTAAATACAAAAGCATAATCTCAGGTGGAATAACTTTTTTTTCCTGACAGTTGCACACCTTTCATAACAGGCTTTTCAGTAAATACGTGATTTTAGGGCCGGTAGAAATTAGAATGACCTCACTAGGTAATTTGTTATAGTACAAGAATTATGTCTTCTGTTTCCTATTGTGGCTGTTACGAAATGTGCATCCTTGAGTGTTCTGTAGACCTGTCTTGGCTCTTTTTTAAATAAGAGATTGAGATGGGGGAGGGGACTGTATGATCCGGGAGTCTGATGTATAGAATAATTTGATATACCTACATATGGCATGCCATTTTGAAATGGTGAAGAATGTGCTCTACACTTACCAGTCGTTGAACACTTTCAGCGTTAGTTTTTCTCCTATTTAGAAACTGATTGTCATAAATATGTAAGAGTTAGGAAAAAAAGACCTGTGAGCTTATGCTGGAAAGAAAACTGTAATAAGATGTTTATTCTGAGGTGAACAGTTATGATTCAAATAAGAGTAAATTACAGTGAAAATACTGGGCTAATATTTGTTAGTCCAACTGATAATTCTTCTATCTTAAGCAAAAAAAAAAAAAATTGTTCTATTTTAACCAATTTCACAAAGAATTTAGATAATAAACTTTAAAGTTTATTGTTCCCAAGTCATACACATTTACCAGTGTTGTTGGATTTTTGTCTTTGACATTAGATTAGAATGCCTTTTTAGTTAAACTTGGGAAAGTATGTATGTATTTCAAAGTGCCAATTAAGATATCTTTAGATATTACAGTGTTTTAATTAATAACATTAATAGTCTTGGTTTTATAACAAGATCTGTGACCAGTTTCCTCTTATCTCCTAGCATATTATTTTTGTTGCCAAATATATTTTAATATTGCTTTTTATCTTTGTTACATTTTTTTAAAGCAGTAAACCATGAGGTGAATTTGGTGATGATGGTCTGTGTTTTCCTTGAAAGTATTTCTGTACAAGCTAGTAAAATCATCCATTCTCATAACTAACTGCTGAAGTTTTTATCACTTTATAAAGAGGAAGTTGGGTTTTTTTAACTTCTGCATCATTACCTGAAATGGTCATGATGAGCTGTCTAAATAAAACAGGAAGTCGAAAGTGTAATAACTTGCAGAAACAAGTGCTTTTAGTTGTACCCTTGAGTTCACAGTTTCTGAGAATGAGCTTGACTCTTCAGTTACTTCTAAATGCTTAGCAAGACCAAGATACCACACTTAGGAAGCTTGAAATTTGAGATGAACTACTTGAATTGTCTGTTTTCTTTATTTCATGATTCAGCAATTTTTGGTTTGGTTTTTTTTTTTTTTTTAAAGACAGAGTTGCCCAGGCTGGAGTTCAGTGGCATGATCATAGCTCACTGCAGCCTCACACACCTGGGCCCAAGCTATCCTGCCTCAACCTCCCAAGTAGCTGAGACTGCAGGCGTGCACAACCACACCCAACTAATTTTAAAATTTTTTGTAGAGAGGGCATCTTGATATGTTGCCCAGGCTGGTCTCAAACCCCTGGCCTCTAGTGATCCTCCCTCCTTGGCCTCCCAAAGTGCTGGGATTACAGGTGTGAGCCACCACACCTGGCCTGATGGAACATTGTTATTTTTTGTTTTGTTTGTTTTTTTGGAGACAGAGTCTTGGGCTAGAGTATAATGGCGTCATCTTAGCTCACTGTAACTTCAAACTCCTGGACTCAAGTGATTCTCCTGGCTCACCCTCCAGAGTAGCTGGGACTACAGGCACCCACCACCACGCCCTGCTAATTTTTCTATTTTTTGTAGAGACAGAGTCTCCCTCCTGGTCTCAAACTCCTGACCTCATGTAGTCCTCCTGCCTTGGCCTCCCAAAGTGCTAGGATTATAGACCTGAGCCACTGTGCCCTGCCTGATTCAGCATTTTTAAGACATGAATGGAAAGAGAATTTTAGGGCTGAAAAATATGGTTAGCATATTTTTTCTTTTCAATCTAACTAGTAGGATATTTGTGTACAGTTTCTAGAATACCGGAATTAAGAAGTTATGCTTTCAGTTTAGGCAATGTTTTCAGTAATAAACAATTTTTTGTATTAAAAAAAGTACATGCTTGTGGTTTAGACAATGGTTTCAGTTTTAAGGCATTTTTTGAGAAACAGATTTATCAAAATTATTTAGTAGAGATGTAGAAGATGGTGTAAATAGATGCAGAAATTTGAGGGCTCTGTTAAAACACATGAAAAATATTTATACTTTTAAACTGCCATTTCCTTGATTATGTATTACCTCCTTAATTTACTAGTTACCCTTATAGTAAAGTTTATTTGGTGTGGCTGTTTTTTTAACAAATAATTGATTAGTATTAATATCGTCGTTCTTTTCACTTCTTTTCAGTTAGCTTTGCTGAGTAGTATTCATATAATCTGTTATAAAATCCTGGAAGAGGAGCATAAAGACTAATAAGCAGGTGCAAACTCAGATGCCCAATCTTTTGTTAAGAGTATAGGTTTATTGGCTGGGTGCTGTGGCTCACACCTCTAATCCCACCACTTTGGAAGGCTGAGGCAGGAGGATCATTTAGGCCAAGAGTTTGAGACCAGCCTTGGCAACATAGACCCTGTCTCTATAAAAAAAAAAGAATAGGTTTATCATAATTTCTTCCAGAACATTTAGCTATTTTATTAGGAACAGCTTAATATTAAACAAAGTAGTATAATTTGGCAGAAAATTCAGATCCCAGGTTTGTCTGATTGTGGAGCCATGCTTTTGTCACTACAGTTTTTTCCCATGTAACCATAAATGAAAAACCAGAATAGAGGCATCCACTTAATAAAGTATAAATGAGGTATTATGATGTAGTAGAAAAGAATGATTCTAAATGTTAGGAGATTTGGCCTTTCCCTGCTGTACTTCTAGCCTGTACTTCTAGTGATTTTGGAAAAATCACTTAGTCTGTACCAGTGGGCCTCAGTTTTCTTCTAACATAGGGGAGTGGGGGGGATTGGATCAAACCAACACAAGAAAGTTTAGTGAACTTTTTTGAACTCCAATAAAAAAAGTTCTGTTTTAAAAATTGAAACATTGAAATGTTCTGGGAGGTTCTGTCATTGTCTGCTTCCTACATTTGCCCTGATAACAAGACTGAGTTCTTTGGTAACTGAAACCATGCCTTTTTATCTAGTGCCTAGCCTAGTACCAAGTACATAGTGTAGGCACTGTGTATTGGTATGAAAGAGATCACAGCTTCATTAATTCTCATATTTCCCCAGCTCACCCTCCTTCATCCCCTATAAAACACCTCCTACCCCCAATTATTTCTGATAATCTGTAGATATTTCTTGTGTTTATGGATGTATCCACACCTTGGATGCCTCTTTGTGCATTGTGTCTGAGCATGTGCTCCCATCACTGGTGCTTTGCCAGGCCACTGCTGGGAACATTTGACCCCCTGGGGTGCATTTTCCTACAGGTCCTATAAAACTGCAAAGCCTTATGGATACCAGAATGACCATGTACATGTACTTCAAGCTTTGCAAAGCCCCTAATGAAAGTGTTTCTTTATCTGCTGTAAATCCTCTCTTTTAGAAAAAGGACTGCTCAGAAAAACACACACTGTGGGACCAGATATTGTTTGTTCTTTTCTCTCTCTTGTGCACAGACTTCTCTCATCTTCTTGCCATAAAATTCAATAATGTCCTTATATGTTTATGAATATAAAAACCCTGGATAGGGGAAATTAGACATGATACCGAGGACAAATGACTACTGGGGAGTTTTGAACTAGATGATAATTTCAATATCCATTTGCTATTATTTTCTCTTGTCATCAGAACCTCCAACCAATCACTGCATTTCTGTTCATCCAACCATTATTCTCTTAGTTGCATGGTAAGAACACTGGCATCATCTTTTTCACCCTTAGCTTCTCCTCTCATGTTCATTCGGTATTCAAGTCCTGTAAATTATTTCTTCCTGTTGTTAGATTCTGTTATTCCATTTCCATTAACTTTAAACCATTTTCTACTTTAGTTGTATAGGAACTATAATCA